AAGAATCTAGTCCAATTATCGCCTATTGTGTGATGTTGAGTCATTCCAAATTACCCACGAGCTGCTCTCTGCTTCTGAATTATGATTTCCCGGCACACACATACTTCTCTCTGCAACCCAGGCAGCTTGCATCCAGTTTTCAGGGCAGTACTTGGCTTTGGTTGGTCTGACCACTTCCCAAATGCCCATGCGGAATGGGAACCCTCTAAGAGAGGCATTTGCAGGAGCAGGGCTGCCTGCCATTGGGTTTCCTCCACATCACTTTTTGTTCTGGGCTATTTGGGGAATGCAAATATTTCCTTATACAATTTTTCTGGGTGTGAGGATGTGATAATCAGGCACGAAACCTCACAGTTTGGAGAAAGGACTTAAGCAAGCTTTCTCCGGCAGGAATGTCTTGCTTTACAAGCCACCGTAATTCTGGGTCCCTCATCCCTCCTCTTCCCTTGGTTTGCAGAAGTCTGATGCTTACACGTAATTGCCATTTTGGTCTCCAATAGCTGGTCTTTTGCTGTCCAAACTAGTTATGGAAGTCATTGGAATAGCTGGACATCACGGAAGCCATGGACAAAGATGAGTGAGGGCGAAGGTCTGGAGGAGAAGTGGCCACTTGCAGGTGAGCAGGTGGCTGAGTACCTGAGGGTGACATTGTCTACATTCAGCTCTCACCTATCAGTGAGGAGGCAATGGGGGACTGTACACAACTCGCCCTGGGGTCTGTCCTTGAGACAGATAGTGTTACCTCTACAGAATTGCTGAGTTATTTAATGAGAGGGTTTGCACATGCAAAGCTCAGGGTCGGGCACACCCCATACTGGCCTTTCTCTTAGTGAAGTGCAAGCTAGGGGCACCCCTGGGTTTGCATTTCTTTCTCCCTCTACTTGGAGAGCTCCTCCTTCAGGCCCCACACAGCTCTCTCCAGGGGTCATTTCTCAACAGCGCTGTGGGCCTGCTGGCTTTGTTGATGGGATCTTTTGCTTGTCTCCTGTCCCTGGAATGCACCTGCCTGAGGTCAGGGTATCTGTAGGGCTGCTGCTTTAGGGGCTTCTCAAGGTACTTTGGGAATGAGTGAGCAAATGAAGGTGAGCTCATGTTCATGGGCATGGGGAGCAGGCGGCAGGTGGTGAGGGTTCCAGGAAGCAGGAAGAGGAGGAAATGTATCCTAGACTGTTTTACAGAGCCAGCCTTTCTCCCCCATGCATTTCTGGGGACAGACATCTTCCAGTCTGCACCTTTTATCTTTTTGATATTTGGGTTAGTATCCACCCCTAGCTCTAGTCCATGGGCCATTGTGAAATCCGAGGGCTTTCGAAAAATTAATAAACCTTCCTGTCTAGAGTAGTTTCAGGTTCACAGAGAAACTGAGGGGAAGGTACAGAGAGCCCACATGTGCCCCTGTGTGCACCTACACCACCTGAGCTGTGACCAACACCCCTGCCAAAGGGGGCGTTTGCTGCCCTGGAAGAACCTGCATGAGATGTCCTTGTCACCACATCCCATGGTCTCGTGGGGGTGGTTACTCACTTGAATTCCCTCTGCCTGAAGTCAGGGCCTGGGAGAAGCATCAGGAGAGGAGGCTTGGGATGAGACTCCTCGTTCATGTGCCTAGTTTAATGAAGACTTAGGGAAGGACTGACAGACACCAAGTAGTCACGTCTGCATTCCCAATTCCAGACCTTGGAATTCAGCTGTGTTCCGCGTAGCGAGTTAGTCATGTGTGTGGAAGAGCCATGCTGATGCCCAGGGAAAGAAAAGAAAATGCTGGAAACAGGAGGTGAGTCTCAAGGCTGAATGTGTCCTCATCTTGCTTTTCAATTCCATATGCTCGAGCACCCTCAACTTCAAAAACCCTGAGCACTTACAGCTTTCTCCTTAAATGGATCTTAAGCTACTTGATCTCAACTGATAATGAACTCATTCATCAAAGCCAAAGCAGTTTTAGAATTGTTTGTATTTACCCACATTGAGATGCATTCCTCAGGCTGTCAGAGCTTCAGGGAACCTGCCCGGCTCGCAGTCGGAGCACAGGAAGCAGCTCAGGCTGGGATGGCAGCATTTTCCAAATTGTCCATGTGGAAGAAATGACAGCAAATGGGACCATTTTCTTTGAGTTTTTACAGCCAACCTGACTGGCAAGCCACGAACACTCAGCACAGCAGTTAATTGAATTGGTTAATTGCATTTTGTGGAATCATCTCCATAGTCTTTTAGGAGCAGAGACTATGTTGAAATAATCCCTGTTTCTGTTTGCAAGTGCTTTTATTAATTAAAAAAATCTGATAGGTCAACAGTTTTCCTTCCTTCCTTCCTTCCTTCCTTCCTTCCTTCCTTCCTTCCTTCCTTCCTTCCTTCCTTCCTCTCTTCTTCTCTTTCTTTACTTGCAGTACCAGGCATTGATCTCACGGCTTTGCACAGGCTAGACAATCACTGTACCATGGAGATACACTCCTAGCCCTTCAATTTTGGGGGAAAAATAATATCTCAAGAAACATGGAGCTTGCTGACCTGACTTTGGCAGCTCCCTGTCATCCAGGAGAAGGCCTGCTCCAGAAATCCCATTCTCAGAGGCTCTGGTGACCACATTCCCAGCAGCATGCACAAGGAGCAACTGCAGTCTTGTCTTCCCTGCTGTTGGGACACAAGGCCATTTCAAGAACTGCCACTCCTCCAGAAACTAATGACAAGGTCTCATAGGGCAGAAGGAATCTATGGCCAACAGCTGCAGGGGAGAACGAGACCATAGGCAACAAGACTCCCCACCACCTGAGCTGGCCTATTGATGCTGCACAGAAAATATGGGTGTGTGGAGCTAATAGAGAAGTAGGGCCGGGCAGTGGAAGGTAGTTAGAGTGTGATTGATGTCCTCAGTGCTCTAAAGCTTTTGTGAAAGAAGAGGGAATTCACTTCCTCTGGGCACCATCACTGGGCAGGTGACCTGCAGAGTGGATTTCACGACTTCCTGTGTGAGTTGTGGGTGTAGACTTTGTATTAGTTTCCAAACACTGCTGTAACAAATCACCACTACTGTGGTGACTGAAAACCATGTAACTTTATCACTGAGGTCAGAAGTCTGGCATGGGTCTCTGGGCTAAAATCGAGGTGTCTACAGGGCTGTGTCCCTTTCTGGCCTTGTGGGAGAGCCCACTCCTGCCTGACTTCCTTGGCCCTAGCCCCTTCCATCTGCAGAGCCTGCTCCAGCCGCAGCCTTCTCTGGCTCTCCCTCTTCTATCTGTTTCTTGTCAGGACCCTTCCAGGTATGTTGGGACCACTGGAATAATCCGGAACAACCCCAGGTAACCTCCCAGCTCCAGGTCAGCTGGTCAGCACCTTCAGCCATTCTCCAACCTGGGTGCCCTTTGCTGGATAAGGAGAAGGGAGCATGATCACATTTTCTGGGACTAGGAGTGGGCATCTTTGGGGACCTGGGGCACTGGGGTGCATGGAGAAAGAGAGGGGAAGAATGGTTTTCCCAGAATGTTGTCCTGTAGAATGAGATTGCTCTCTGAAGGACAAACACGGAACTAAATCGTGTGGCTGAAAGCTGTCGGGGCACATGATGTGTGGAAGTATTTTTGATGTGAGAAACCCAAACTCAACTAGATCAGTTCATTTATTTCCCAAAATACTAGTGCTGGGGACTATTCCCTGCTAGTAACCTGCTATAGGAAAATTAAATTAACATTACAAATAAATCAGGGGCAGTGATTTGCGTTACAAAGAGCTTCACCTGGGGACTTCAATGAATTCAGCTGACTTAATTGCATATAAATCAGCCTGGGGCCAATTGTTCCTTGGTCCTGGCTCTGTGCTGGGGACTAAGGACATAAGGATGTGCAGAACCTGACTTGGCTGCTTATTATTATTTTATTACATTCCCACTGCTCCAAAATCATGAAGGAGAAAATAAACCATCTTATCTGTGATAAGTACCACTGGGGAGCCATACAATTCCCCGACAGTGTCCCTGTCCCCAGATCAGGGATGCCTCTGTGGGCATGTGCCCACTGAGAAGTCCAGGGAAGAAGTAGTGGAAGTTAAGGAAGTGCAGAGGGGACAACAGTGTCCAGACAGAGGGCCCACATGTGCAAAGGCCCTGTAGCTGAAAGACCACAGTGGATACCAAGAATGGAAAGAAGGTGTATGTCACTGGGGCCACAGAGCAAGCTGGGGCAGGGCAACTGAGGACCAGAAGTCCAGGCTCTGCATGGTGGACATTGCTGTCATTAAAAGAGCAAACGTGAGACATTGAAGCTTCTCAGATGTGTACAGAATGTGATCTGATTTGCAGCTAAAAATCATTTTAGTTTGATTATGGAAGCTGATTAGAAGGGGATTCCACGCAGTGGCCAGTGGAGTGCAGGCAGAGTCAGCCACGGGGCAGGAGAAGTCTGAGCAGCAGTTGGGAGCAGAAGGGGGCTGTGCTGAGCTATGGCCCCTGCCAGGCCATGCCCCGTCTGTTCCAGACATTGTTGGTGATGTGCCTATAACGTTTCTTTGATAGAATGCAGAGTCAATAATGGGCTTGGAAAATCAACGAGCTCCAGTCAGGCATGCAAGTCTGAAAACCAGGCACATGTAAAGCTTTGGAGTCAAGATGGGAAACGACCATGCCTGCCTTGTCCAGACAGGGGAGGGGACAGTGGCCCAGTGTCACAGACCAAAGGAGAAGAAGGGCTTGCTTCCATCGCCACCCTGAAGTCCTGTGGTCCTTGAATTCTCAGATACTCTGAGAATTTTTTTTGGAGGGGGGGAATGCCAGAAATCTAGGATTTGGAGCCCTCCCTAGTTTTTTCAGGTTGGCAATTCCTTAGACAGGGTTTAATAACGTGTACAGGTGAGCTCAAGGCTGGAAGAAGCAAAGGGCTTCTGAACCAGACCTCAGGGACCAGCAGAGTCTATAGATGGCAGGTGAAAGCCCCCAGACTTGCTTCACCTGGGACTTCAGTGAATTCCTACAGAGGGGTATGGGGGCTGCTGCTCCTGGGCCTGGTGTTGTGGTGAGCCGCTTCTGCCGTTTCTGCAGATTATGGTCGCCATTACAAGATGGCGCTGGCTCCGCTGTGGTCTGTGACAAACAACTCCTTATCTGGGAAAGTTGGCACATGATTTTTCACCACCCTGTGAGAAAGCTCCACGCGGCAGCTTTGCATTGGGGCTTGGGATGCTTTATTAAGGCTGGGAGGGGCATCCAAGAGAGAGAAGAAGAAATATCCAGGGACCTGAATAAAACTGTTGAGAGAAGATTCTCGAATTGCGTCTTCCTTGCGGGCAAGGGGGTCGCGACAAGTGGCGCCGAGACCCGGGAACCAGAACTTTCAACAGTCAGGGGTGGTGCACCGGTTAGTCCCAGGTAAGTGGGATCCGCGATCAAAGCGGGGTTAGTCCCAGGTAAGTGGGATCCGCGATCAAAGCGGGGTTAGTCCCTAGTAAGTGGGATCCGCGACCAAAGCGGGACAGCTCCTCTGTAATGAAAGAGAGAGCCTTACATTTTATTGCAGCTGCACTGTGTACTTTCGCTTCTACTTTCGCTTTCTTTTTTTTGTGCTTCCTTTGTTGTTGTGTCATGGGTGCCGCATCTTCAAGTCCGCTTCTCCTGGCCCTAGATGGCCTGTTACGTTCCAAGGGACTGGAAGTGAAACATAGTACTTTACAGAGATTTTTACAGAAGATAGATATCGCTGCACAGTGGTTTGCATTTTCGGGCAGCCTTACTGTGCCTAGTTGGGATAAATTAGGCAAAGATCTTGACTTTGCTTCTGAGCAGGGCATATTAGAGGGTGGGGTGATACCCCTTTGGAAAATGGTCCGTGGTTGCCTTACAGATGGTAAATGCCAGGAAGCTGTGAGTGAGGGTCAAGCTATTCTTGAGCAGCTGCATGAGGAAAAATCTGAAGGATCATGTAGTGAAGTGGCAGAGAGTATTAAAAGTAACAGTAGTGAGAAGGCAAAAGAGCCTGAAGATAAAAATAGGAGAAGGCTCTACCCAGACTTGACCGAATTAAAAACGCCTGAGAACACAAGCGACTCAGAGAGTTCTGAGGACCTTGATATATTGTTACAACAACTACATAAGATAAAAATGAAAAAGAAGAAAAAGGAGACACAGGGCACGCAGGCCTACTGTAAGAAGGGGAAGGGAGTTAACATCGGTCAACAAAACTCTGAGGAGGAGGAGGTAGAATATCTAGAAGAAGATATGGTGCCGATTGCCCCACCTCCGTATGTGGGGGGGAGCCAAGGTTCCGGGAGATCTTTTCATGCACAAGTTTGGAGGACAGTTAATACAGATATGGGACTTGCATACCCTGTATTTCAGGACAATAACAGGGGAAGATATCATGAGCCTTTAGACTTTAAGATAATTAAAACCTTGGCAGAATCTGTCCGCACTTATGGCATAGATGCCGCTTTCACTCTCACTCAGGTGGAGGGACTTACTAGATTTTGCATGACTCCCTCAGATTGGGCTAGTCTAGTCTGCGCTTGTGTTTCCCCAGGGAAATATTAGGAGTCCAAAGTTGGCTGTTTAATGTTTCTGGCAGTACCCAAGACTCGGAGAGAGGTAGGAGGCTTAAAATTTCTGCAAATAATTCACAATTATCTAATGCTACATTACCCTCCACAGCAGTCTGTCTCCAATCTCTGTTCCTGTTTCTTTTGGCTAATGTTACATTACAGGGGATGCTTAATTGCTCTAATATTACCTGTTATTTGTCTGAGTGTTGGAATGGATCCTGGCCTATGGCAATGGTTATGAAAATTCCAACTTTTGTCCCGATTCCGGTTACTACAGATCCAGAGTCTTTTCCTATTGTTGAACTGATTAGAGCCCGTAGAGATTTTGGAATTACGGCAGCCATAGTGACAGCTGTGGCGGTATCTGCTGCTGCAGCAGTTACAGCTGGAGTAGCCATGGCCAGCCAGGTACAAACTGCTGCCACTATTAATCAGGTTATTCAACAAATATCCACCATACTTGAATCTCAAAGTAGAATTAATCAACACATTTTATCTGGGATTCTGGCTGCTAATCAAAGGATAGATCTGCTTCAAGCTCAAGTTGAGGAATTGTCTGACCTAGTACATTTGGGTTGTGTTGATCAACGTGCACATTTATGTATAACCTCTGTCAGATTTTATGATTCCAGAAATGCCTCCCACATCATCGGGGAGTATCCATCCGGAACCTGGTCCATGGCAGCAGAAAACTTGATCCAGTCTCAACTAACTCAGATTGCTGTTTTGAATAGTACCCGTGTCGAACCAGTGACTTTGGGTCAATTCACCGATTGGATATCTTCTGCTTTTTCCTTCTTCAAAGAGTGGGTGGGAGTAGGCATTTTTGGTGCAATGTGTTGCTTCAGTGTTGTACTTTGTTTGTGGCTTCTCTGTCGCCTTAAAACTCGCCATGCACAAGAAAAGGCTATGATCATACAAGCTCTTGCAGCTTTAGAAAATGGCAACTCGCCTCAAGTCTGGCTTGCGCATCTTAAGCAGTAAACCTTTGTCATGGTCGTTACACCCCAAGTTATTATAACATTGCACTGGGATCGACATGACTTTCCTTGTTATTCTCTTAGTGTTGGAAAGCCCTTGCACTCTGCCGGTCTTACTGCCATTGCACGCAGATGGGTTTCCACACTAGTGCTTTTCTATCGCCTTGAAGTTCGTGCCTTTCTTTCAGGGTGCTGTCAACTTGTTTGTCGTTATAAACAGCCACAGTTCAGCCTCAGCTATCCCCCTTCGTCCACCACCGTCACGATACAGGATGCGAGGCAAGGCACTGCACTTGAGTGATCCTTGAAGAGGACCTCAAGGAGAGCATGTCCTATTGCATGCGGGTTAGACGCGTTCACGCCCCGCCCCACGAAAAAAGGCGTCGGCTGATATGGCCTCAGATCTGGGGAAGGGCCCTCCTTGGGACTGAGCCATACTATGCAGCCACTTCTGCACAGTGGGATAGGACCTCTACTCTCGCCTGTATTGTTTTAATAAAATAGAAAAGGGGGAACTGTGGTGAGCCGCTTCTGCCGTTTCTGCAGATTATGGTCGCCATTACAAGATGGCGCTGGCTCCGCTGTGGTCTGTGACAAACAACTCCTTATCTGGGAAAGTTGGCACATGATTTTTCACCACCCTGTGAGAAAGCTCCACGCGGCAGCTTTGCATTGGGGCTTGGGATGCTTTATTAAGGCTGGGAGGGGCATCCAAGAGAGAGAAGAAGAAATATCCAGGGACCTGAATAAAACTGTTGAGAGAAGATTCTCAAATTGCGTCTTCCTTGCGGGCAAGGGGGTCGCGACATGGTGTGGGCAGTGGCTGTTGAGGTCTTCAGCAATCCTCCTCACTCCAGCCACAGGGACCAGATCTTGCAGCTTCAGATGCAGCCTTCACATCTGAGCTGGAGGCCTGGAAGAATGAACTTGCTAATTGATCCTAAGCCAGCCGCCAAGCCTCCTGGCGAATTAGTGGCTTTGTCAGTTTAAGACAGATGACTGTCTTCCTGCCCTTCACTAATGTCTCTGCTCTGGGAGGAATTTAAACCTCAGCTTTGAATTACAAATTTAGAAGGGAAACCAATGATGGGGAGAGTAAGTAGAAACCTTTCTCCTGAGAAAGGCTGCAGGCAGGAGACATTAGTGATGGATAGGCCCAGCTCCCATTAAGCTAATGGGTGTCAGAGATGTAAACAGAGCTCTGAGTCTGTGCTCCGAGGCTAGGCTAAGAGATTGGATCACTCTAAGGCTCCACGTATGTGCGGACTTGTGATCCTAAATAGACTCAGAAAGTCTGTTTGGCAATTTTAATGGAAAGAAAAATTAGGCTCCATGTACAGATACATGGTCTTCAGTAGGCAGGAAGGAAGGGTGTTTTCTTGACTTCCAGGTGGGTTTCAGGTCTGCCAGCTGAACACTACTCACCTGTTGGGAGAAACAGCAAGCCCAGCTCCACCGCAGGGGGGCGGAGCCAGAGCCCAGGGATGGTTCAGTGGATGAAACCCTGGACCAACATCTGCAAGAGGCATGTCCATTGATACAATGGACCAACATCTGCAAGAGGCATGTCCATTGATACAATGGACCAACATCTACAAGAGGCATGTCCATTGATGCAATGTTCCAAGTGGGCAACCTGCCTTATCTTCACAGGCAATGGAATTCTTGGTTTGGAAAGGACACATTGGTGGCCATGCTGAGGACAAGCAGACAGGTGTCCTCCCCCATGAGTGTCACAGAGGCAGGTGTTGGCTTTGTGCATCAGGCACAGAAATGAGCACTTGGAGAAGCTCAAGCATACTTTGTTGTTCTTTATCACAAGTGGACGAACTTTTCCTACAGGACCAGCTAGTGCATATTGCGTCTTTGGGGACTGATCCATCTCAGTTGTAATTCCTGAACTCTGCCATTAAGGAGTAAAACTAGTGGACACAGGGGCATGTCCATGTTTCAATAAAACTTTATTTTCACAAGCAGACAGCCAATTGGATTTGGTTTGTAGGTAGCAGATTTCTGTCTCCTATTTTACACCATGAAATTTAGAGCAGTTTGTTCTGTAGCAGAACATTATAGAATGAATTTTCAAAGAAATAAAGTATCTGCTATTTGGATGCAAACCCCACAAGGGCAGGTACTAGGTCTGACTTAAAAACCAATGTCTGTCCCTGTCGGGGCACCTGAATGGAGTGAAACGCTCAGTATGTAGATTGTTCTTGTACATGTCTGCGTAATTTGTATTAAGTCTCAAGACCCGAGCACTTCTAAGTGTCTTAGTATTTAGAAATCAACGAGAGGCAGCTTGGAGGTGGTGAATGTGGTCAGGAATGACTTCTGTTTCCAAGATACATGGAAACAGAACAGGTCTTCTGTTTCCATGTATCTTGGATGAATAGTACCCTCTGGGTGGGCCGGGCTCTCACAGTGGGACAGAGCTGGGAGACCCACTCTGTCTTTCCCAGGGCAGAGGACAGGGCACCCTGCAGCAGTGCAGGCTGATTAAACACGCGTGCGCACACACACACACACACCTACACCCCTTCAACCGCACATCACATCTCCACTGTCCTTCAGGCCTTTTGATCACATCGAGGAGAGAGTCTGTTTGGTGCTAGGAAGTTTGTAGCACTTTTTGGAGACAGAGCCAAACTCGGGGCATCAGGAGAAAAGGGTGGCTGGGATTAGGAACTCTTCCTTTCTTGTAGTTACTTATTTTCTATAGTTACATCCCCTCGTGCAAGTGAGACTGGGTTTCTATTTGTAGTGCACTGTCATGTTTCTGTTTCAAAAGATAAATTTGAATGAAAACATATGTACTTTTGTTCTTTATGTGTGTTTTTTGGTACTGGGGATTGAACCCAAGGTCGCTTTACTACTAAATGACATTCCTAGCCCTTTTTTAATTTGGAGACAGGGTCTTGCTAAGTTGCTGAGGCTTAACTTAAACTTGTAGTCCTCCTGCCTCAGCCTCCTGAGTTTTGGGACTATAGGCATGTCCACCGCGCCCAGCCAAAAGCTTGCATTTAAATTCCTCCCTCATCCTCCGCCCTCCTGCTCTCACCCCAGTGGTCTTCTCCTGTGAGAAATGACTCGGAGTGAATTCTGTGTCCATCACCCTGTAGTTAGGGTGGCTGTTTGTTTCTGAAGCCCACGCTGGGCAGATCCCTGGTGACTCTGAATCTCCACCTCCAGGGACCTGCTGGCTCCCAGGCTCTGCTCTTCCCAGGCCTCTGAGCTGACCCTCCCTCCCAGCTCCCGTGTGAGACCTCATGGCCTGGAAAGGGAGATAAGTCTGAGCTGAAGTCTTTACTCCTCTCAGGAAGGAAAAACCTCAAAGATGGCAGGAGAGCTGAGGGACTTGTTGGGGACAGATTGGCCAGGCTAGGGAGTAGTCCCTCTTCATGGCTCAGGGCAAAGACTGGATATCTGCTGCCTGAGAATCGTGAAGAGGCTGGTGTTCCCAGAAGAGACCAGAACACCCCTCACCACCAACAGGGTGCCAGAACCCTCCTGCGCAGCTCGCTTTAACCCCCTCCATGTGACAGGCCTTAGGAGTTAGGGGAGTGGCTGTGTTCAGAACACCCCAAGGTTAGGTTTGAACCTTTCCCTCCAGGTGAGGAATAGGGCTTTATCATAAACGGCTTCCAGTTACAGGTCCTGAAATGATGCATCAGTGTTCTTCCACACTGCTTCCATAAATACAGGGTATTTTTTTAAAAACAGCTAAAATACTTGCAGCAGGGATATTGAAAAGTTTGGGAAGGTTAAATGGTAAGAACGATGAAAAAAATCATCAGGTAACCATTTTTACCTTGCTCAAATATTAATTTTTCTTCAGCATATCCACTCATGAAACTGACAGCCAAATTTTAATGACCCCCTCCCACATGCAGAGAATCTTTCCTTCTGAGTTTTCTATTTCCAGGAGAAAATGAGGGGATTGTCTAGCCCAATTCTCTATTTCAGGTTGAATTTGCGCTTCAAAGTATGGGACTTTTCATAAGGAAGCCATTATGCTGGATAGCAGGTGAGTGGAAATTTCTAAAATGAGGGAAAGACAATAGGATTCTGATGTACAATGACACAATAGGGTCCTGGGGACTTGGTCATGGGTGCAGGGCTCTGGCCAGGAGACTCCGAAGGGCAGTGGGTGAACAGGGGAGTCGTGTGCTGTCTACATGGGCCATCGGGGCTGAACCCTGGGTAGGTTTCTAAGAAGAAATGAGATTTTTAAACTCAGTCCCTAAGAACCAGCGAGTAATCAGAGATATCAGGGAAAAAGAGGATAGGATGTGATTGGGAGTTAAATAAAAAACAGAAAAAGTGTTAGAATCACATTTTCTGATTCATCTTCTTTCTGAGAATTCAATCTAACAGCTGGAATGAGGGCCAGATTGAAGCCTAAGAGAAAAGATAAGATAAAGGATTAGATGTTATCCATGGCTCTGAAAAAGAACTCTGCAGCACATGATGCGATTTTGTCTGGCTGTTCCCCACCCTTTTACTTAAAGATCTTCCTCCCCTTCTGATCTTCCCCAGGAGACAGGAGGTCAGGGAACCAGGTTTGACTCCTGGCCGTGCAAGCTGGGGCAACCAGGGAGCCTCTCGGAT